CGGGRAATTACTATAACTCTTGAATTATTAGGAATGACGAGAAATTATTATCGTGAAAACAGAATCCGAAATGGACGAACCCCGTATAAGACAATGCATGACAAATATGACAAAAACTGCATCAGCCAAACATCMGTTTTAAGAATAGGAGCACCAGGCGAGTGTCACTGTCGGAACGTAATACCAACAATTAATAACAGTTAAATCGTTAAGGATAACAAGAAAACGGCTCCGACAACGTCTAATCAATGATTAATAATTTTATTATTATAAAAAGCGACTATGGCGACGACTCGACGTGCATGTTTTCAACACACCCAAACGAAAAACGTGTAATTTTTTCCATATTATTTWAAAAATGTATTTTTTTCATTTGACCGCCCTTCCATCTCTCCAAAAGTACCAACTAGATCCCATTTGTTACTAGAAACCACACTTTAATTTGAAGATTGAAGCGTTTTATTTTTTCTAAAGGTAAATTCTGAAATAAAATATATAAAACTACAAATACATAATTATGCTTGATACTAGGTATTATTATAAAACAAATAAATTCCATCGCTATGCTCAAAATCTAAAATATCTATGTATAATAAACTAATATTTAACTTACACATTACCTATACCTGAATGTAACAACTATACTATATAATAATAAAATGTACGAACGTTGTCTTAAAATGATGCCTAAATATAAAATTATCATTAGGTACATTTTTAGATTTGCCTAATAAATAACCCCGGAAAAAATATCCCCGGAAAAAATATCCCCGGAAAAAATAACCCCGAAAAAAAAACCCCCGAAAAAATAACCACGCGAAAAAATAACCACGGAAAAAATAACCCTATAATAAAAATGATTTGTAAGTAATAAAGTATAAATTTGTAAAACAATTTCAATAATATATAAATAAAAAATTCTCATTATAAACGTTTTCTTAAATTAAAATACATTTTTTTTTATAGATTTGAGATTAATTTGAAAACTTATATTATGGGGTTATTTTTTTCGCGTGGTTATTTTTTCGGGAGTTTTTTTTTCGGGGTCTAAATTTCCGGAGTTATTTTTTCCGTGGTTATTTTTTCGCGGTACCACATTTTTATAGTTGTAAAAAAAACAGTAGTTCTGTAGTCAAATAGTAGGGAAATCGTATTAAACTTTAATAAAATAAATATTAACAATGAAACAATTATTTCAATTAATTTCATAAAAATTTAATTTTTAAATGCTTTTGAAAAACATTGTGACATTATCTTTTCAATAATTTTTAGTTTTCAATGAATAGGTACTTGCGTTTATTAATTGCGTCAAATTGTCAAGGTTTTTCACTTGAAGTCAAAAATGTAATCATAAATAAAACTAAAAAATGTAGAAAATGTAAAATATTCACTAAGATAGTCTGTGAACAAAATGTTATAAAATAACAACATAAATAAATCGTTATTAAAACATGTTTAGATCATATATTATATATTTATATGCTGTATTTTATACACCAATATACCTATTTAATGTCAAAGCATGATATACATAATGTACATAGTTTGCTATATGTACGATAAACTTAGTACCGACTAAAATAATTACATTATATAATATTGATGTTTGTTAATAATCGGACTACCGTCTCCCTATATTTCCGTATTATTTATTTATTTCGTTACACCGTCAATCACTAGACAGCAATGGCATGGTCAATTATGAATAACGTCAGTTACCGGAATGACACATATTGTACCGTCTCATTACTAAAATCCAATTTTTTGCAATACTTCTATTATTGGCTTCTATTTTCACGTGACTGTAACGTTTCAACATTATTAGATCACAGAAACGTCCTTCAAAATCACCCAGCGCTCACTGCGAACCGCTTTTATACAATTAGCTCCCAACTTTAAAATTTAAAAAATTAATGGTCGAGTTTTAATCGCTTTGAATTATTTTTACATTAATTCAGCAATGAAACGTGTCGTAATAGATTAAAAAATCCAAGGGATCCACTAGATCAAAATTTCAAATTATGCATCATATTGTACAATATTATGAATAATTTTGTAAATTAATGATTATAATGATTAATATGGCAAGTTAATGACTTAGACGAAGTTAGACACACTTACAGTCAGAGTAATTACTAATTTTTATTATTCTACTTGTAAAACAATAAAAATAAATGGTTATTTTTGTACATTTATTATTTTTATTTTTAGTTTTGGCGAGGCATACATTTTATTACCTATAGTATATTATACCGTGTAAATGTTAATGATTATACCTAGAAGGTACTTAGCTAGTTGAAATACGCATAGTTATACACTAATGACTAATATGASGGTATTATGATGGTTTTTAAAATATTATTTTTTCTTTTAAATGTGCCCTTTAAAAAATATTCTTCATAACGGTGAATCATAATATGATAAATTATTTCCATTAATTTTTAAACGAGAAGAATCTTATTCCTAAAAACAACTCGCAATATAACTTTTTTTATGGTGATATAGTATTATTATAGTGCCTGCCTATATCTATATATACTCATGCCTAAATTAAAGTGTGACCACGGCTGTGAGAGTCCAATCAGACTTGGGCCTTAAATTCTACAAGTAGTAGTTCTTATATATTTATTTTATTATTATTCTGAGCGGAGCGATTAAATGCATTGAATTTGTAATACGTGATATTTTTAGATGAACATTTTTTTCTGTGGTGAAATTTTTGAGCAATTCAAAGATGTTTATATTTTCAATTTCCAATATTTTTTCTATTAGATAATTGTAAATCTAAATGGCATTTTAAGTGAACGCAATGCCGAAGTTAGAAATCATAATAGTAATATGTATATACGCTATGGTTATCTACAGTATGTAGATTACCGTGGTATACACGAAGATGATAACTGATAGAGTATCTACCTACAATTTTTTTTAGGGAGGTTAGAAAAAATATAAAAATAAATAATTTTGAATTATGTGTGTTTTTATTATAATCAATAATCATACATTAAACATAGAACAATTTTGGAGGGGGTTATAACCCCTATCCCCCTGCATACGACACTGCCTATGTGCAGTATATATATATTATATACCTACGAATATGAGATTTTTTCTATCCAGAATACAYACCAAATCGGATTTAAAATTGTTTAAGAATTTCGGCAGCGGGAATAGTTTTCGATACGTAATTATCATCTACCACTATGATTAATCTTAATTTCATTAGCCACATTGATTCGGTTCAGTGGCGTAGCTATTATAGACAAAGGGAGGCAGTGCCCCAGAACCCCAGAGCTTAGGGTGCCTTGTCACCTTTAGGGCCTATCGTAATTTTCAAACATTATAGACCTAATATTTATTAAAAATAATTCAACCATTGATTCCGTCAGTAACAATTACGATGCCGTAGTGTATGTCCATATATTCATGGATACAAATTTATTACAATATGCGTAATATTTTAAACTTTTATTACGATTATATTGGTCTAAATTAATATTACTACTCCTGAAACCTTTCCCATCTTGCTACGAATGCTACACTACTGATTCGGTTGGCAAAAAGAATGTATACAGRGTGATTTATTTCGTCAATTGTCACCAATCGTCCTGAATAAGGTTCGCTCTAGATCACTAAAAGTTGGTTTATAGGGTCAAGTTAGAGTAAAGGAATATTGAGTGTTTCAAACTTATAAGACGATCGCTTTGTATGCGTAGAAATTCTGACGAAATAGAGCACTACAGAGCTAGATACACTGTGGGATTTATACATCGTCGACATTGGGTAGTGGTGAGTAAGGCGTATATGCAAAGCGATGGAGGTCGAAACAGAATAAAATGTTATACAAACGATAAAATACATATTATGTTTTACAGAAAATGGCTCGGAGCGACTAGTTTTTTTTGTTTCCTTTTCGTTGTTTTAAAATATTCAAGAATAGTAGATAGGTATATTATAAAACAACACTTGGAGTTGTATTTAGAACTTTCGCTCCTCCACACAATATATATTACTATACCAACCCCGAAAATAACACGTGCTATTATTTCTGACAACGTCCTATAGCACAGTTAGAGCTAGATCATTTAAAGTTCATTTCAATGACAATATTTCTTCAAGTTTTCAACCAAATTTATTTTATTCTTTAATAATAAAAATATGTTATCTAAGTAGTTTTTGATTTACTTTTTTTCTTGCTTAAATATTTCGTCATAATATTTCTTGATGAAATTATATGAAAATGTTCATTTTTAAGTATAAGATAAATAACATTTATATTTGCATCTTACTTTAAACTATAGAATTATTAACTAACCCTTCCCCTTTCCACTTTTACTTCACTTGATTTTTTTATAATTTTTATTAGCTGTTAATGAACACTATTATAGCTCGACAATTATAACGGACAAATAATAAATCATATAACAATTACACATAAGCAACACAAGCGATTAAGTGACAATTTAAATTTTAAAGTAATTATCAATAACATGACATATTATAAATAATATAAAGATAGATTACGTAGGTATAATCAATATACTGAAAAAGAGAATTATAATTTATGGATTTGTTTGCTTATTAAATATAGAAACGACGAAAGAATTAATTATAGAAGTTAACTCGTGGAAATAAATTGAGATAATATTATTTATAAATTAGGGATGTGTGGTATAATGTTGGATTGAGGACTAGAAGCAGCGGAAGCATAGGAAGGGATTTAATTGAAAGGAATATTGGGGAGGAGCTCTGAGGTTTTGTTAACGGAATAAGGGAACTTATTATAGGATATTATAGGTTTAACTTTAATGCGTTTTTTTTATAACGGATTGATAAACACGGCATCGTTTAAAGTTGGCCGTGTGTGCCTCACAACAGAGCGCGAATTTAGGCACTTGAGTTCTAAGTGAACAAACTCATATCTGATCGTTTTTAATTCCTGATGATAAAATAKGCGTATTTGACAAGAAGTTAAATTCGAAATAATTGTGATTTTGCAGAAACCAATTGGAGCACTAGAAAAACGGACTAAATGCTGTTTGTGCTGCAAAAGCAACAGAGTGGTATTACAGTGCTTACTGGAAAGGTCGGCGTACGTGTGCGGCGAGGCGTTACGACTAAAAGCCAACATAAAAAATCAAAACGAAAAGGATATCAGGCTTAAAGTCAGATTACTACAGGTAAACCATTTTTTTAAATATAGTACTAAATGGTCTAAAATATTTTACGTATGATTTACAATAATTATTGCAAATCGAGTTTTTAAGTTGACTTACCTACAACAAACGAGTTATCAGCGTGTGTAATTCATTGGTGACTAAACAGACCGCATATTCACTGACTTTTCTAACATTGGAAAAATACGTTTTTATTTTTATAGATACTAGAGAAATACATTATAACAGCCAACAGATATATATTGAATTTTCTTTTCAAAAAATAAATGACTAACATAATATATTAGGTATGTTATACTTACTCAAACCATTTTTTTAGCTTTAATATACGAAACAAAAATATTGTTCGTTATAATATCTAACTACCTATATTTAGTACCTATTCTGAAATAAAATACAATGGAAAAATATTTGAATACTTATTTTAAGACTGCGGTTACTAATCGTAGATGYAAATATAGGGAGAGTGGGCTTAGCCCTTAGCCTCCTAAATATTTCCATAGCTCTCACAGATGAAAATAATGAATCTTAAAATGATGTGTTTAGGAATTGAGATTGAGATAAAATCTTATCATCTATATTTCTAATCGCGAAGTAATTGTTGTCATTCAGCATAAACATAGACAGTGTATAACAGTGAATTTTCTACATGGTTTTGTATTTTCAAACATTTTCTTATTATACATGAAATTTTAACTAAACCTATAGTATAGTGAGTAGTGATTAATAAGTAGTGTGAACATAGACGACATATTTTTTATCATACTGTCTCTAACAGGAGTGACCCCAACGAATCTCGCGAGCCGTACTTGAGCGAGCCTACGAGACTAAATTATCGTGTGGGTCTTGAAACCAAGCTTAAAGTAAAATTAATTAATTTAATGTAAAAAGCACTCTTAAAAGTAAAATATAATTATTTAATCAAWATTTTAACAATGTGGCTCACTACGAATTAGCTTCATAAAATTTGCGGCTCCTGAAATTAAGTTTAGTGGCTATTTCTGGTCTATAACATACAATAYAATCTTATGCGAATTAAAATATTATAGCCACAGCTATAGATTGATAATATTATATATTAGTTTATAAATTATCCTTACGGCCTTACCTACTATACTATTGAAACTCGTTATTAATATATTTCTAAATACCACCATAAGATATGAGAGCAAAATTGATTAAAAATGACTATACAAAGCATATTAAATGTAATCCGTATATAAAAAAATACAATCGAATTTAAATAAGAGACATGCGGTGAATCTGCAACAATATAATATGTGTTTACATCTATACATAACAACACATATACGCGTATAAAACAATATATTATATTGTATGGAAAACCAAAAACTAATTAATTTATTTTAAAACTTTAAATTAGGTTACGCTATGTCGCTTTAAATTAGTTGATATACTTATACCTATACTATACTAAATTAAACATCAAATACAGCTGTATAATATCGACAATCGTTTGTATTATAATATACACACACTGCGTAATTTATACCTCCCATCGGACACATAGAATTCGTACATTATTCACTCAGATTAATCGTCCGCAACCTAAATTCATCAAGGACTAACGGACGTGTCATATTAAGTATTTCCCTAGCGTGTGTGGCCGAATGAAATTCTGTGGAATTACGACATTATTTGTTTGTTTAAATATTCAGCTTATATAGGTTACAYAATACAATACCAATAATTATTGATCTACAACCCACATCAGACCAAAACTTTGAATTCGATATGTACCTTATTGCGAAGCATAGATTWTAACTGATTTAACGAAGCTGTTTTTTCATCAGAACACATTTTCAGATTGTAAAAATGTCAATAGTCTTAAATACAAATTTAATGAACGTTTCGATACACTTCGACGTTTCCCTAAGTTATAATAAAAGCCCTGCCAATTGTCAATATAAGGGCGAACATTKTATGCAATGTTAACGGATATCTGATAAAATAGTGCGTAATAGTGTAGAATAACAACGCTTATTAATATAATTACTCGATAAATAAAAAGGTATCTACAACATAAACAGATTACATATACTCATTACAGATACATATTTTATAATAGCCTAAACAGAGATTTGGCAAATATTTTTTTTAGGGAAGGACATAAAATTATTCATATTAATTTTTTAAGCACCTACATATTATACAAATACATTTCATACAGAAATATTGAATATTGAAAAAGCTTAAAGAGGGTCAAACCCCCGAYCCCTAGTCACTCCCGATTACCACATAATCTTATTTATGTGGTGATAACTTTGACGAACATTAATACAACTATTATACTCGTCAACGTCCTCAAWTTTTTCTCATTCTACTAAAGACACTCAAAATTAAAATAATATAAAATTAGTATTTTAAGTATAAATTGTAAAATGATTATTAGCAAAACATAATAATATTTTTRATAGGTATCATTAAAAAATATATATTTGAACACACTAAAAAATATTAGAAAATAAATAAAAATACAGTAATTAAATTCCTCTTGTCAGCAATTTTGACTAAGGTATAAATATACGACTTCTGTATTATAATTATATCATAGTTACGTATGTGTACACAAAATAGTCATTTGTCTAGTAAACTGTCCGCAACTTGTCCGCAATGTAAACTTGTTTATTGCAACGACCCTAGGTAAAGTAGAACAATTCATATGTGCAGTAAAAACCGATAAATAGGTAAAAATTTATATAATTATAATTTTTTTTTTTTTATTGAAATTAGGTTACCAGGGGCTTACATAAATGTTCAAAAAAAATTGTAGTTTCTGTTAAGTATATTCTATGAAAAAATCCGACCAAACAATGTATATGTTTTTTTAATTTAACGGTTCTAAGAAAATATAACAAAACGAGTATACAATTTATTAATCTCATCACAATATTTCAAAGACTAAAAAATATTATTTATTGATACAGCGTGACATACGTTTATCATGCTTATTTGTTCGATTATTCTAATACTAATTTATTCAAAATATCTATCTATATAATGKATAAAATAATAATAATAAACACTAATAGTTTTCATACTGAAAAATCAATAGGTACCTAATTAATTTGTTTTATATAGGCAATTAAAAATTAATTTTAATCGAAATATAATATAATTTTACAAGTGTTAACAAATACATTTAAATATAGAAATTTGTTTTAAAAGCTTTTAAATTATATAAAAACACTTGTCTTAAGCCCTCATGATGTAAAATAAACGGTTAATTTTTTATAGATTATTTTTACTGAATTACTTTATTCTTAGATTTTAACTCACGAATTCTCCAAATATGTGTACTTAAATAGTTATGGGATTGATTTTCTTTTGAATAGGTAGTTAAATGAATAAATGTAGAATATACGTGATACATCATAATTAAAATCAAAACATATGTTATAGTTGTATATTTATAACTATAATGTAGAACACGGTTATTGTATTTAAATTCAGATGACAATTTTTCAAAATGTAAATATTATGAAATCAGTAGATCAAACGTACTCAAAACTAAATATTAAATTACGTAAAATATATATTATGCTATAACATTTAAATACATTTAGACGATAATACAACATCATTTGAAAATTCAAACTTTTATATTATACCGCTGAAATTCCATTAAACTTTATTCGAATATTTCGTGATGTGATCAAAACTGTATMATCCTAAAAGTTTAATTTGCATCTGATACCTACATGAGTATGCACTTTATTATGTAACATTTATACACATAATCCTTTCGAGTTCCATCCACCGATGATTTATGACTATATAATTAGTATATATTAGGTAATAGGTATATATACAATTTACCAACAGTTGTAATGTTACAATATTTTATGTTTTTAGATAGTACTTTAAATAAATAATGATATGCTAATATTTAGTGGAGTTTTTAACATTTTAGACATAAAATATCACAATTTCAATACACAATATATTATAATATATATTAAATTATATATATATAAAAATATTTTAATTAAAAAATAAGTTGTAACAATCATATCATAGAGTGTTTTATTTATGCATACGTTAAAAAAAATGTCCTAATAAAGGTTTAAGATGCGCACATAGCACATAAAATGCATGATAAATAAGCTTATGGGCAGTGTTGAGACGTCTTATCTAGATAATTATTCAGTTATCTTTTATCTTATCTAGATAAATAGTTGAATTTTATCTAAATAATTATCTAAGATAAAAAATTCATTCATCTAGATAAAYTCATCTCTATACAAAAAAATATAATACACATTTTGATTGTCAATTTATTTTTATGATAACTAGCCAATAYTTTAAATTTKAATTGTCGAGTCATCTCAGTAAAAAAAAAAATATGTTCATAATAATGTCGATTATTATACAGATATTATATTTTATTATTGATATTTTCGTTAGGGGCCCGGAGCCGCGGACACGGTGATCAAATATACCTACATTACATTATTATAAATTGTGTAAAATGTGTAGTTTTTTCTTTATTTTTATACTTATTAAAAAATATTTTTTTCAATTAGGTATACCTTAGTTATTTATTAATAATAATGTCTACTGCTAACATTAATTTACTCATATAGCCGATGTTTATATAATATTGAAGTACTAAGTAGTATCAAAGGTGTACTYTTAAAAYGTTTTGGATTTCAAYGTGTTAAAAAAATTAAATTTATCTTTCTTGTTATCTAGATAATAATGTATTTATCTTTCATCTTTATCTAGATAAATTTAAATTGTTTTATCTTTTATCTTTATCTAGATACGTTTTTGCCCTGTTATCTTTATCTAGATAAAAAAAGTGCTTATTTAATTCCAGCACTGCTTATGGGTACACGGCATGCAATTCGAACGAACTCCTCTATGAGGAAGCATGTAATTTGGATTTTTTTTTTTGAATGTATTTTAAAAACTATTTCAAGAATCAAGAAACAATATAGTGCCTTACGTTAAAGAACTCTAATCGAGTACCGACGACGACGGTTCGTTACATTAGTAAATTATCTGAAAAATTATTTCTTTTTTTTTGTCAGAACGTTCACTATTCGGTGGAACGTGGCATGCTGGGTGTCCAAAATCAAAAAGACGTCCAGCACTCGGTTTTGGAGTACATCGGCGAACCGATACGCACTGGGTGTGAATCGCAATGGGATTCTGCCGACGGACTGGTCTTGCCAGTGATGCCRCCTACATTGATCGGCAACTGCAGGCTGTTACAAATATATTACGTACTCAAGGTAACATATATGACACACATCCCGTAAATTTATGCTAAATATTATTGTATGCATTAAAATTTGAGGTTCTATTTATCCGTGTACTGCAGTCTGCACAGTTTCTTTTCCCGTTGATGCGCGATGCACGAAAACTACAGGGATACCGCTGTATTATTCACGTTATTTTCGTTTAATTATTATTTAATATGTAGGTACCATAAATAACATATTATTGAAAACAGAGAAAATGTAGGAAAATGGTACCTCATTATTTGAGAAAAATGGCTACATCTGCAAACCTCATCTTTTATTTCATTATCATAAGTGGAAACCCGTTTTCAATGTTTTTAAAGGTTATATTTATTAGGTATCGAATTGTAATGGATTAGTTTTTCCAATTAGTAATTTCAAGTAGATTATACGAGCCAAGGATAGTATATGACGCCCACTAAGRACTCGTGTCTCAGAATTCTCTTTACAATGTGCCCCACATTTTAAAGGAATGACGTATGTTTTATATTATACATACACAACATCTCTATTAAAAATAATAACAATACATTAATTTTTCAAATTATTATTTATATTGATCTATCGAATAAATTATTACAACAATTTCAATATATGTATATTTAAAAATATTAAAAATCAGTCCACCCCAAGGCAAATAGGCATTTTCGGCGGAACACTTGAAGGTTTATGAGGTTATTATTATATACAGTGTAATCTAATTTGAATATAAATGGATGACTCATTTTAAAATTTATTAAATTTTATAATGAGTAATAGAATATGAAAATCTAATGACAAAAACATGATTAAACATGAAATACTTTAATTTCAAAACTTA